ATAGATTAATTCTGAGAGCAGAATTAAATTAAACAGGTGTCTCTTTTGTTTTAGGAACTCCTATAGCTTTAACTTCTTTGTAGCGTTGGCAGCACATCTTGTGAGAAATCATGGAGTATAGCTAGCATTGAAAATAAAGGCTCCCTGGCAATGATTTGACAGGTTGCAATCCAGATTTGGTCTGGTATTATCTACGTCGAATGGAGGACAATGTGGGTTGGAGGAAAGAACCAGCCAGGCCCGAATGAAGGTGTGATATTACAGACTTCAGGATTTTAATAACAGTTCATGGACTGAATGAATCAACAAAAGATAAACCATTACACATGAAATGCTGCAGCAATAACTGTCTGGAATAAAATGTTAAACGACAAGGACAAACTTATATGGAAATTGAAAGCAATTAGCCATGTCTTGGAAAAGAGGATATTGAAATTACATAGACAAATCTGCTTTGACACCTTTGGATGCTTTATGCCACAAGAATAACCGATTGCCCTGCAGAAGAATTTAAGGAGTTAATTGCAGGAAAGCTGTGTCTTTTAACAGACAGTTACAGCCAAATGTAACAAGGAACAAAGCAGCTACTTCTGATAAGAAGGCAAGCTGCAGATTTGCAGTAATTTAGATGAAAGGACTTTAAGAAATCATTGATATATCACCTCATAGACTTTAAGAATGAAAATTTATACATTACTCGAACACCAGAACTTCCCTTTAGCAGAACTCCAGAGAACAACTTTGCATAAGGATCAAACCCTGGACACTTCCAGAGACTGACCGCTGTTGGTGGCTTTGTGGCAACGTTCCACCATTTATTAGGTAATACCCAAGTTGGGTAGTGAGGCTTAATTTGCTTACTTCAGGGGTCTTATTTTGGTTGTTACACGCAATAAAGTTTAAATCATTGTTTCGGTACTTGATGGTCTATGAACTTTCTTAGTACAAGTAGTCGAATTAAAGATAACTTGTGGTGATTCACCCACAATTAAGGATATGCTGAATTTAGCTCGATACATACACACATAATTAATCCAAATCTCTGACTGCTATAAACTAAAGCAACAAATTCTTAAGCTGCTCAGGAGTTGATTCCAGTCATTTGTTCATTTTGAACAACAATTGTTTCAACTTAACTGGGAAGAGAGCACTGGTAAAGCCATCACAAGTGTGTACATCTAAACCATCGAGATGACCAATTTGTCATTCAGGACAAATACCATTCTCACCGGTTTTGGCATTAGCAGAAAAATAACTTGTTGTTGTAAACAAACATTAACAAATGGTAGAGGAAAAGAAAAGATTTCTAATCTACTACTTTGCAACTTAAACTCTACCCCTTTAGGACTCAAATACGCATACATTTGTTTACGAATAAAATAGACAAAAAAATGGCTTTTCAGCAATGGTATGGTGGAAAATTATAGGAAAAGAAAACAGAATTCTGAAGACCATTCGTCTAAACCACAGGATGGGATAAGTTGCCTCTCACAGTTCTTTTGATTTTAGCATTGATGATACAATGTTGTCTGTAGAACAGTGATCATTCTTTAATTCAGTAGTTGATCAGGTGGACTTGGATCTTGTGCTGGAATTCTTTTAAGTTTCTTGGTTTATTGTCTTTTTCTATACACAGACAGGAGGGAGAGAGTCATTTTCTGCTTGGCAGTTCTGAGTGCATCTGGCCACAGCACATCTGCAAGTCTGTGAAAAAGTGCAGCTCAACCAATCCAAAGGCTATGACAGGCAGTTTCTCCTGAACACAAAATTTCGTGATGCTGTTCTGCCTCAGTAATGTAACTACCTCAATGCTCCAAAAGCAAATTCTGTTCTACAGCAAAAAATGTGTCCAATTTATTTTTTTCAAAAAACTCTCCATGTATTTAGTTACGTATCACTGTCCAGCTTCCATTCCAGATTATAGTCCAAGAGGAAAAAAATGTGCTCCCTTAAGTGGTACACTCTCTAATGTCATGTTAAAGGTTGTACTTTTGGCCCTTTTCATACCACTAGTTCACTTCACACAGTAAGTGCAAATAATCTAAAAGCAAAACATCCTAATTAGCAATAACATTGGTAGGTGCGCCTACAGAAACGGGTACACTAATCAAAATCTTGTCACAGCCAAGAAGTAACACCTTAATGAGTAATTCCATGCATGTGAATGAATACAACTGAAAGAACTGATGACACCAATAATATGCAGTGCAAGTCTGTTGCTGCACAGTTCTCTGAACAGTTTTGATTTCCATAGTGAAACAGGCATACAATTGCCTTGGATGCAGGTCAGAGAAGGCTCACAAGAATTGAGCAGATTAGGCCTGTACTCAGTGACGTTTCGATGGATGAGAGGCAATCTCGTGGAAACATAAAATTCTGAGTAGGCTAGCTGGGGTAGATGCTGAGAGGATGTAACCCTTTGCCAGCGAATCGAGAACTAGGGAACAAGTTTAAATATATAGTACCTCATTTAGGATAGAGTACATGATACTGACCTAGCCAGCAGAGAGCTGGCTCCTAAAGTGAGTATAACTCCTGACAGAGATAGCAGGAACTGCAGATGCTGGAGAATCTGAGAATAACAAGGTGTAGAGCTGGATGAACACAGCAGGCCAAGCAGCATCAGAGGAGCAGGAAGGCTGACGTTTCGGGCCTAGACCCTTCTTCAGAAATGGGGGAGGGGAAGGGGTTTCTGAAATAAATAGGGAGAGAGGGGGAGGCGGATAGAAGATGGATAGAGGAGAAAATAGGTGGAGAGGAGACAGACAGGTCAAAGAGGCGGGGTTTTATATCTGTCAGCCAGAGTGCCCTGATTGGGCCAGGTTAACAACTCTACTCAGGGAACTCATATTCTATGAGATCCACCTGGCTGACATTGCTTCAATCACTACAGAAATGAGAAAGAATTTCTTCTCTCCTAAGGTTGTTAATCTTCGGAAATCACTACCATTTAATATATTCAAGTTTGTGATAAACAAATTGTTTGATCTACATGAGCCCAAGATAATAGGGGGTACTCAGGAAAGTAGATTTAAGACTACAATTAGATTAGTCATGATTTTACTGAATGATGGAACAGATTTAATGAGACAAACAGCTCTCTTCAGTTCTTATATTCTTACATTAACAAACTCTATGCAGTCAATTTTATTCTCTCTAAAGGCACTAATGCCAGGATTTTGTGAAAATACACATATCACTGTAAAGCTTTCTCAATGGCCAAAGTGCTCCTTGCTCATCCAGAGGCAACTCAGACATTGTGCAGTAAATTGGCTATTTTCAACCTCCTGAAAATCTCTGACTCTGTGACCTGCGGAGAATCCTTCTCAAATTTGGCTGACCACAGAAGTTTGTCATCACTCATCCCCTCTCCACAATGACATGTAAGCCAACAGAACCATCAGACACCTACCCCAACCCTCTTCTCCATCATCCTCGCTGCAGTACTGGACCTCACCTCAATTAAATTATCCAAAGATATGGAGATGAGTCACATGGTAAACAGAAAACTGCTCAATTCAAATTGCTTTCAAAAACAAAACCACTCCAATTTCAGTCACTGAACTCAAATAAGCTGACGATGCTGGTGTGTGCATTCATTTAGGAACTTAGCTCCAAGTCACTCTTTTTCATTGAAGCTTTCTCAAATCCTCTGGAAAGTTGATACTCTCTTTCAACCAGCTGCCACGGCAAAACATTTCCTCCAACAACCCCCTCATCAATTAAGATAAACGGCAAGATGCTGGAATATTTGGATCACTGTCCATATATTGGGAGGCTCTTCTCAACAAAGGAAAGCCTAGTCAACAAAATCCATCATCCTATCCAATGAGGACAAGAGTACTTGAACACCAGGATCTCAGACCTGAGGCTAAGGTCATAACAGTCCAGACAACAATAGCCCTATGCTCCTACATGCTTTGAAGGCTAGATCAACCTACCACAGACACCGCAATCATTCGAAAAGTACCACCAGTGAATACCTATGCAAAATACTCCAAATCTGGTGACAAGAAAGGCTATCTAACAGCAGCATCCTCTTCCAAGTCAATGATGTCCAGCATCAAGGTGCCAATCATTCGAGCCCAGCACCACTGGGCAGGAAATGTTGCTCAGAAACCTGTCACCAGACTCCCGAAACAGCTACTCTGCTTGAAACTTGTTGGTGGCAGGAGACTCCCAGGAGGACAGCAGGAATGCTTTAGCAATATTCTCAAAGTGTCCCTGAAGAAATTGAACATTCCAACCAGTCTCTGATTTATGATCAAGCAAAATGGAGAAGTTTCATCCGGGAAGGCACCAAATACATCGAGAGATTTCTTCAGCAACATGTGTACATGATTCAAGAGACTGCGTGCAAATTTCCAAGCTCTACCCAACCCTCTAAGCGCTAACTGTCTCTTATGTGTAGCAGAGACTAAAGATTTACCAGCCACCTCAGAACCCATCAAACAGGAGTGCAAGGATATCGTCTTCAAACTCAAAGTGGTGCCTAAGAAAGAGGGAGAACTCCTATACAATTTTGAGGCATCAAGAGCAGAGAATGCACCATGTTCACTCCAGTCAGTGGTGAAAGGTGCAATGTTAGAAAGGAACTCTTTATGCCTCTCCAAATTCCAGTCTGAGGATTATGAATACATCACGTGGCTCAGAAAAATCTTTGCATTCGCCAACAGCTCATCCACCAAGCCTTCTGCATCTATCTCCTTTCCCTCAAATGCTCCAGATTGCCCATCTGCACAATTGGTACGCTCCTGCAAATGGTAGTTTACTAATAAAATGTAAATAAATCCACCCATATAATGGCTCTAGTCTCACTCTTCCCACCAAGTATTTACCCCAGATTAAAATCAACTTGTATTACTTTCAAATCACCTTAGTACACTTTCAAATGACTTCAGTTTTGAATAGTCACATTTTTAACCTTGCAACTGAAAAATGTATTCATACATGTCATTTCTATTCAACTAATGCAATAGGTCATGACATTTGTCACTTACGCGACCCTCAGCATCTCCAGCCTCCACAGTGATCGAGCATGAATGGACACTGCTCCGCCTTCATAATGAACTGTCCTAGAAGGAAACAGCAAAGAGATACAATTGAACACATTCTTGGTTTTAATGTTGAGGTATTCCATAATTTTAACACATTTACATTCCTAATTACAAATAAATCATTAGAAATATTCAAATCACTACAACTCAAATTTACTTTGATAAAAAATATTTTGAAAATTATGGAACTAAGTAATCAAAACAGAAGTAAGGGGGATCTTGTTATAGTATTCCTACATCTGAGCCATACTGCCCAGACTCGAGTCCTACCTGCACCAGATATGTGTCAGAACAGGTTGATTAAAATATCTAGATACATTAAAGATGGAAGATGAAGAATAGGTTTTCCGTTATGTAGAAAGTTTGGTTTCTTTCAAGATTAAAAATGCACAGTTTCTGCATTGTATTTTTAACAAACTGTTCTCAAGTTTAAAATAAACAGGTTGATGATCATAATATTTTGTCATAATAGCAGAGATGCCAACTAAACCTGCCAGAAGTAATATGTGAGCTAAGTCCTGACTCTTTTGTGAAGGTTCCCTGCGTTTGACATTTCTAATATATTCAGTGCATTAATGACAGTCCTGCACATAGAGACCAGAGGAATTCTTACATGTTGTAAACATGACGTACAATGAAGATTTGCTCCAGTTGACACATTTCTTGATATCATGCAAGTGATAGAGCAACCAAATCAATTCCTCCTGCCCCTATCCCACTCCCCCAACCGCCATGGCAACATCCCTCTCTTTAGCTTTTTAACAGATCAGCAGACATTTGAGTGAAATTCCTTTACTCAATATTTCACCAGGTCTTTAGCTCACTGATATTAAATAGATTAGTCACATTGGCTGTTATCTATTACAACCATTTGTTATTGACTGCTCAAAATTATGTTTTAAGTAGAATATTTGCCAACTTAAGGTAACAGCGCCTGGAGCAAAAAAAATTGTTGCATTGTTTGACGTATTTATAAACACCACTGTACCGTACAGGGAGCATATTGCACAGAGGTGTCCCTTCACCATTATAGGTGACCCATTTCTAAGAACCAGCTTCACACATTGATTCTAAATAGGTCTATGTAACACACTTTCACCCTGTATCAAATATACATTTGACTTTAAAGCAAAGTCACCGTCACCTTGGATGTCACCAACATTAACTGGATTTTACTTCAGTTTTGCTAAATTATGTCATTTAACTTACCAGACCTGGCCTCACCAAAACCTCTACTTGTCAATTCTACACTCACTGGCCTACTTTTGCAACTGGTCCAAAAGCATGTTCCTTCATGAATGTGACAGAATGAAAAATCTGGTACCCCGTCACATGAGGAGATACAAGGGTGAAATGTCAACAGTTTGGTCAAGGAGGTAATTTTCAAGAATATCTATAAGGACAAAAGAAAGTTGGAGAGGTAAGGCTTAAGGAAGCAGTTCAAGAGCTTAGGGCCTTATAAACTGAAGGAATGGCCTGTCGTGGTGAAGTAATTAAAATCAGGGATGGTCAAAAGGTAGAATTAGAGGACTACAGACACTTTGGAGAGTTTGAGACTGAAGGATAGTACAAAGATTGTGAGGAAGAAAGCTATATCATGACTTGAAAACAATGATGAGCCTTTTAAAATTGAGACATTGCTGGACCAGAAGCCTATCTAGAGAATTGTTCATAGACTGGTGGATAAACAGGACTAGTTGCGAGTAGGGACAGGGCAGCAGAGTTTCGTATAATCTTAAGTTTATGGTGAGTACAACATGGAAAGGAATAGTCACAAATGATGAGAGCTTCAGCAGCAGGTGAGCTGATGCAAATAAGGAGGCAGGGAATCTTAAAGAGATGTGGATCAGTGGTGTTACTGGTGGTAAGGATATTGCTACTATAGAGAGTGGATCAAGCAAAGATGAGAGACACAATTAAAGAGAAACTCAACAAACATCTGTGCAGACTTACAGAGATAGGTTGTTCGTCATGCTTGTCAGTGGGATGTGTCCGGGATCAGAAAACGTTATGTTGATATATGGCACTCAGACGTCCCTCTAACACCTACAGCATGTGTCAATCGTCTGCATGGCAAACACACTGTATGTCACTGTTGCTACTATATGGTCGTGTGTGTGTGTGTGTGTGTGTGTGTGTGTGTGTGTGTGTGTGTGTGTTTGGGGTGTGTGCAGGCCTATTGAGAGACCCTGATGCACTCTCCACACCACCACCACTGCCTCCCGCTACCTCCCCCCCCCC